ACAGCCTTCCCCCTCTTTCTCTCTCCAGCAACAAAGAAAGAAGACCCGGGCTCCTGACAATGGTAACTCCATTTGCCCTGATCCCTTACCACGGAGGAAAAAAAGAAAAAAATGGAATATAAAACATCATCAGGACTTGCTACCTTTGAAATAGGTCCTGATGAGAAACATAGAGATGAAAAGGAATTTAGAAAAACCAGGGTTATACATTATGCAGTTGAGCTCCCCACATTTAGGGAAATCATAGGGATCAGCAACATACCACAAGTGCAATGGATGAGCCTCCCCCTGAAAAAACCATTTTTATAACATGGTATTTCCCCTGCAAAGTATGACTTGGAATAGCCCTTGCATCTCCTACCCCATTCTGTCCCCTGACCCCCCAAGTCATGGTGACCCCCTGGCTACACCTCCCACTCAGTACAGGGCTGCACAGCCCCAGTCCTGCCAGAGGCCAAGAGAGCTCCTCTCTATCTATCTATCTATCTATCTATCTATCTATCTATCTATCTATCTATCTATCTATCTATCTATCTATCTATTTATTTATTTATTTATATCTCCCGCCTATCTGGACTACCAGACTACTCTAGGCGGCTTCCAATACAGAATAAAACAATAAAAACAGAAGCATGTACATGATTATTCGATAACAATTACAATAAAATAAGAAGATAGGGGAAAAATAGGAAAGAAATCAAGAGTTGGATGGATTGGAAGGCCTGGATGTACAACCATGTCTTTAATTGGGTTTTAAAGATGCCCAGCGTAGGGGGAGATTGTTCCAGAGGTGAGGAGCCACTGCCGAGAAGGCCCGGTTTCGTGTCTTCTCCTTCCGGGCTTCTCTCGGCGTCAGGCTCCTCAGCCTCACCTCCTGACTCGCGTGGGTGATCCAGGTAGACCTTGGTGGGAGGAGGCGTTCCGCCAAATATGCTAATACCTATGCACTAGAGGACTGTGGGAGGAACACCTAGCTAATGCTAGTTGTTCCGCCCACAATTAGCATGTGCTGCAGAGAACATAACCTTAGTGTTACCTTAGTGAATTCATCGTTTTGCGAGTCAATCATCTTGTGAGGCACCACTGTAGCTACATTAAATTCTGACTCTAACCTCAATCTATACTGCTGCTAACCTTCAGTTTTCATGGGGTCAAAAAAATACATTCAATGCAAGTATCCCCACCTCATGTAAGAATTAATTTTGGTTGATATTAGACTTAAGCATTTTTAAAAACTGAATCCTTACTGAAATGTAAAGAAACCGGTTGCCCAAAATGATGCTGCAAAAAAATTCTAGAAAAACTGTTATCGCATTTTAAAGTATTTTTAGGATGCTGCCATAACTTTATCACTAGGAGTGAAGAAAAATACACATTTTTTTCAGTTGCAGCCTGTAACTTCTGTTTATTTCCCAAAAGAGAGCATAATTCTATGTGAAAAATCTTTTTCTTCTTGTGCTCCCATAGATCTGAAGGATAACATGATTTATTTCTAGGCAAAGCTGGGTCATCAACACACCATTAATATGATTTCAAGTCAGAACAGGATGCCAGAAAAATCTATTTTGTGATGACTTCTGAAAGCACAAAATAATGTGAATTGGGCATTTTAAAGGCAGGGTTCTTTTTATGCTATGTGTAGATTATTTGAAAACTATGCTAGCATGTACGTTTTGAGTTCCAGAAAGGTAATATTGAGAAATGGCCTGCTTCAAGCCATTTAAAAATTCATCCAGCTGCCCATGAAGTATGTGGGACTTCCAGCTGTCTCAGAAAGTAGTTTGTCTGGAAGTGCCAGAAGCTGCCTGAAAGTGCCAAATAGTTACACTATAGAGGGAACCCTTTTTTCATTCTACCTAAAACATTCCCATCTTCTGCACTATACCTTCCAGTCAGGAGACAGCCTAACCACAATGCACTGCATGATGAAATGGATTCCTTTGTCTGCCACATCACTCTCCTCATTACACCTTAGAACAACATGGAGGCAAGGAGGAGCTAAGGTTAACCTCACTTGATCTTCCCCTTCCCTATGTTCCCCATCCATCTCCAGCCGTCACCTGAGGAAGGGGAAATGTTCCTGAAAGCTTTTGTACTTTTTTGTGTGCATCTGCACCTTTTTTATACCTTTTGGGTTGGCCTCTAAAGGTAACACCTCAATATTGGGTCTGGAATTTATTTAAATGTAAAGCCAGCATAGCTTTAGCTCTTTTGGTTTATACTCAACTAAATGTTCTCTGAGTGTCCATTAATGTGTGGCAATTGGCTGCCTCTCACTCATGTGTAACTCAGGGGTAGGATTCCAGTTGCTATTTTTAAGAAACCAAGGCAACACAATGCTAATAAGGTACCTATCAATTTGAGTAACAAGTAATAGAACAAGTGCTTCTTGAAAGTAAAATCCAAATCTCTGCCTATTTAGAAAATGTAGCAAATACAGCTAGGGTGACAATGTTAATTTCCTTCCTGTTAAAACAAGCTTTCCTCTTCTCGATAAGCAGCTCTTTAAAGAGGCGGCCTCTTTTTGCACCTGGCTGTCCTACTTAACGTAGCATGTCCCTGTTCAAAATCATTCCTCCCCATCTCTCAACATTAAAAAATAAAGGCAATAAAGACAACAGAACATTAACAGTGACAAAGTTTATAGCTGCTATTCTTTGTGTGACTTTGGTTTATTAAAACCGCATTAACAAAGAATGTAAATATTTTTGCTCGGTATAGTGAAATACTTCATTACATTTAATTGCTGGAAACTGCTTGCAGTTAATTGCTGATGGGCATTCTTTCCTCACAACAGATTTTAGATGCCGTGAAAGAAAAGCAATTTTTATTTAATTTGCTACTGTTATTTATTTATTTTTACTCAGAAATATGAAAAGAGGTATATGAGGTATGTTGAGTTTTGCCCCAAAAATAACTTCACTTACAACTTTTGGCATTTTGAGGCATCAGCGTTCAGTCCACTGCAGGCACCCAAATATCTTGGGTCAAGCCAGATGTTCTAACATATCATTTTAAAACCCAGATGGTGGCCTTGTGTTCCTGTTGGATATATTCAGGAAAGTACCAGGTGGATGAAATTCTATAGACAGGCATTTTGTTATGAGCCCTGATTGAATTGACACCCTTAAGAAATGCCTCTCTCAGGGTGCAACTACACTGACAAATAATAGAGGAAATGCTCAGGGATTGGGACAGTCAGATTCACATTATTTTTCATTGACAGTATGATGTACAAGTCCATGTGGATCAGCTTGGAGTCTCCATCCCACAAATCTATAGGGTTTTTTTTTTTCTTCTGCTACTTGAGTTCCTACTATTTTGGAATTGAGTGTATTTGCGTCAGTTCAATCAGTGTGATCATTTGAGTCAATGTGGAGGAAGTTGTAGCCATTGTATTTGAAGCCACTCCAGCTGGCTACAGCAGCAGTGAGAGAAACAGGGCAGTAGCGAAGTTGGCTGCCATTTGAATCCTCTCCTTTACAATCCTAGTGCCTGAGTCTGTTTTCATCTTCCCCTCCCATACTGCTTCTTTCTTTCTTTCATTTTAAAAGCTTGCTAATCTACTGCTAGGGCAGCCAGGCAAGGAGGGTGGTGGAAAAGTGGGGGATCAGCAGAGGAAGAGGATGACGTTATCAGAGAGGCAGGAGGTGTTATCGATCTGCCCTGTTTCCAGCTTGTTAAAGCATCTCTGCTCTAACCATGCCTTATGCAAATCTGGATGGCCAGAGCAGAGCTACTGTAGCAAGCAGCAAACAAGGCTTTTGAATGCCAGTTTCCTTCCTTCTCTCTGCTGATTCCTCTGTCGTAGACAGAAGAAAAATTAACATGAGGTGTTATCGATCTGCCCTGTTTCCAGCTTGTTAAAGCATCTCTGCTCTAACCATGCCTTATGCAAATCTGGATGGCCAGAGCAGAGCTACTGTAGCAAGTGGCAAACAAGGCTTTTGAATGCCAGTTTCCTTCCTTCTGTTGATTCCTCTGTGGTAGACAGAAGAAAAATTAACACTGTGGAAACCCAACTTCCCGGCTGCACCTTCACATCAGATACACTCACATTTCCCCCCGTCACACCCTCAAACTCTTGCCTACCTTGAAGTTTGATTCCAACATGCTGCATTTCACACTCAGCCCTTCTCTCTGCTGATTCCTCTGTCGTAGACAGAAGAAAAATTAACATTGTGGAAACCCAACTTCCCGGCTGCACCTTCACATCAGATTCACTCACATTTCCCCCCCGTCACACCCTCAAACTGTTGCCTACCTTGAAGTTTGATTCTAACATGCTGCATTTCACACTCAGCTACCTGACTGGGAAATTTGTTGTCAAAGACATCAGAAAACAAAGTGGGAAAAAGGGATAGGTATTCTGTGTTGTCTTCTGTATTTTTGTGTATTGTGCATGTAATGTCAGAACAAGCCACTAGAGAATACCAGACAATCTGTTGTTGTTCTGTGCCATCAAGTCAAAGCCAACTTATAGCAACCCTAATAAGGCTTTCAAGATAAATGAGGTATTTACGGAGTGGTTTTGCCATGTCCACACACACGCCATGAGTGTGACATTCCACCCAGTGTTCCCTGTTTGTTTCAGGGTCATTTACTCTCTCTTCCGCTACCACCAGTGGATCTCTCATCCACAGTGCACCATATATGCATCAGACACGTGCTGCCAATATAACTTGTTTATTTATCTTTTGGTTTTTAAATCACAGATGTTCTTTTATTATTGTTTAGGGTCACTCACTAAACTTCTTATATTTGATTACATGTTTGCTTATTCAGGTGTTGTATTTATTTATTATTAACTCATTAATATTCTCTCTCCTTAACTCTCACCAGTTCTCCTCTCTAACTGCCTCCCTCTCTCTGTCTCCTTGGCTCCGCCCCTCCTGTCTTCTCATAGGCTCCTGTACTTGAATTTCAGCTATGACAGACAGGAGTGACGTGGGCATTCCGCAACAATGAGTTTCCATGGCTGAGCAGGAAAACCTAGGTCTCCTGAGGCTGTCACTCTGTCCACTGCACCATACTGGGTACCAGATAATATTTTCTAACTCATTAATATTCTCTCTCCTTAACTCTCACCAGTTCTCCTCTCTAACTGCCTCCCTCTCTCTGTCTCCTTGGCTCCGCCCCTCCTGTCTTCTCATAGGCTCCTGTACTTGAGCTTCAGCTATGACAGACAGGAGTGACATGGGCATTCCACCACAATGAGTTTCCATGGCTGAGCAGGAAAACCTACAGTATATCTCCTGAGGCTGTCACTCTGTCCAGCGCACCATACTGGGTCCCAGATAATATTTTCCTGTATTTCTCAGGCTTCGCAACTTATTAATAATGCATAACACAATACAGTGCTTTCCCAGAAAGAGTAAAGGTGGAATAGCACAACAAGATCTCTTCTGAAAATAACTCTCCCAATTCTGCCTCAGACTTCTGTAGTTTTCATTCCTCAGACTCCCTATTCCTTCATGTGGGTTTTGAAACAAACCACACAACTCCCCACATGGGAAACACTATTTTGTTCAAATCAGTTAGACTAAACAAACCAGGAGCAAACAATGGCTTTAGAACTTGTTTCAATCATAATTTCTAGAGCCTGAAAAGTTAGACTAAAATTACCAGAACAACCCAACAAGTTAGATGGGGAGTTGTAATCAAAAAAAGTAACATTTCTGAGCTCTGACCCTTTCCTATATTCAGACACAACAGGAAACTTCAACATGTTCAAAACTGCAAATGAAAGCTGAATACCTTATCCCCACGCAGGAAGAGGAGAAGTATGTGAGTCTAATGCTTGCACCTGCTCATCATTGCAACATTAAATTGCTCTGGGGTCCGTCAAGCCGTCTGTAAGTCAAGGGCCCACTGTATTTCTCAGGCTTGGCAACTTATTAATAATGCATAACACAATACAGTGCTTTCCCAGAAAGAGTAAAGGTGGAATAGCACAACAAGATCTCTTCTGAAAATAACTCTCCCAATTCTGCCTCAGACTTCTGTAGTTTTCATTCCTCAGACTCCCTATTCCTTCATGTGGGTTTTGAAACAAACCACACAACTCCCCACATGGGAAACACTATTTTGTTCAAATCAGTTAGACTAAACAAACCAGGAGCAAACAATGGCTTTAGAACTTGTTTCAATCATAATTTCTAGAGCCTGAAAAGTTAGACTAAAATTACCAGAACAACCCAACAAGTTAGATGGGGAGTTGTAATCAAAAAAAGTAACATTTCTGAGCTCTGACCCTTTCCTATATTCAGACACAACAGGAAACTTCAACATGTTCAAAACTGCAAATGAAAGCTGAATACCTTATCCCCACGCAGGAAGAGGAGAAGTATGTGAGTCTAATGCTTGCACCTGCTCATCATTGCAACATTAAATTGCTCTGGCGTCCACCATGTAGAACATCATAATTGGTTTTCAGTCCATTGCTTCAAAATTAGCTTCGTCAGAAGTGCTTTTAACACTGTTCCCTGACCTAAGGGGAAAAAAAGAAAAAAATATCCCCCTCTAGTGGTAGAAGGCGGAATAGCAGCTTCCCATTACTGTAGTTTCTATGGACGGAAAAGAGCAGATACAGATTAAATAGTTTTCAATGCATTCCTATGGGAAATGCAGATTCTACATAAGAACTTTTCCACTTGAGAACCACCTTCCAATATGGCTTAAGTTCTTAAGTAGAGACCCCACTGTAGTACATCACTAGTGCTGAGACACTTCCTGATAACTTTTGCCTTAGTCTGTGCCTTCCTGTGTTTTTCTTCTTGTTCGTCGTCCTAACCTCTCTACTGAAGCTAACACAGGTATTCCACCACTCTTCCGCAAAATAGGCAAAACAGACACGGAAGAGGGGTTACAATTCCATTCTTTTCACTTTATCAGGGTACACAGAAGAGTTGGGACAGCACACAAGAAGAAAACAATCTTGAGTCATCTCATCTGAGCAGATGGGCCTTTGTCAGGCCTTTGTGCCATCGTTTACCAGTAGGTATCGAGCATTTATCCTGAACATGACATAGATTAACCTTGTGGGTATCTCATTACAGCAGTAATACTTCAATAATTAAGATAGCCTTCCAGCTAAAATTAAAAGTGGCAATTGACTGGCTTGCTGAAACATGATGAGTGATAATGCTCAGTTTCTTGAGACACATTATATTCCAAGCTATGGTGTGAATACTTACTTAATGTACTAAAGGCAATGGAGTGACAGTGTCTTTCTCCTACTTTGTGCCCTGCATTAGCTCATGGCTGGGAACAGAAGAAATTTTAATTTTATGGTGTAATTTTAAGTTTCGTTTTTTAATTCTAGAATATAAACTAGCTTTTCCTCCACAGCTCTTTTGCACTGCCCATTTTTCTGGTGTAAATGTAGCATAATATGAGCTGGGGGACAGAGTGTGCTAGATCGAGCCATTCTGTATTCAACCAGTTCTTCAGCTGGCCTTGCAACTGATTTGGCAACTGGTTGCCAAACCGTTGCACAACTGGTGATAAAACTGGAAACTGCACTGGATTTCCTCCTTGCACCTTGTCCAAAACTAGACCATGTGTAGGGGAGTGTTTATCATAGGTTATTGATCACATAGGTTATTAATCAATTCAACACTTTGAAGGAGGCCCAGAAATTGATTAATAGTGAACAGGTTATTAATCAATTCAACACTTTGAAGGAGGCCCAGAAATTGATTAATAGTGAACGGCTTTTGATGCTGCTGAATAAATTAAACTACCACTCTATAAAATAAAGAATGAACCTTTCAGATTTCTTAAACAGTGCAAAAGATTATGCCAAACATGGTAGTGCTTTCAAAGCAATACTTTTTAAAACAATGTCTGGTGCAGAACATGGAATGTTACATGCATAATTTTTTTGCATGCAGGTTACTGTTACTATATTCACTTTCCAAATTGCATAAGTGGTTTGTTGCACTGGACCTTAACAGGTAAAGGTAAAGGTTCCCCTTGACATTTTCAGTCCAGTTGTGTCCGACTTTAGGGGGCGGTGCTCATCCCGCTTTTCAAGCTGTAGAGCCAGCGCCTGTCCGAAGACAGTTTTCCGTTGTCACATGGCCAGCGCGACTAGGGAACGCCGTTTTACCTTCCCACTGAGATGGTACCTATTTATCTACTCACATTTACATGCTTTCGAACTGCTAGGTTGGCGAGGAGCTGGGACAAAGTGACGGGAGTTCACTCCATTGCGTGGATTCGATCTTACGACTGCTGGCCTTCTGACCCTGCAGCATAGAGGCTTCTGCGGTTTAGCCCACAGCGCCACCACGTCCCTTAATAATGTATTGCAATTTTAGTAGAACTCTCATATGCACTGGGGATCCATTCCATGATATATCGTGGATGACCGAAACTAAGTAGACGAGGGAACCCTATCGATAACATACAAGGGGCAGGGCAAAGGCCACAAGGAGGCCCCCTTGTATATTGAATACAGGGCTGCAGATACTGATCCTGCAGAAACAAGGCTCCTGTTAGACTAACAGACTAGAAAAAATACACGGGGATATTCTGTGAGTCCCTCCAGTGGCCAATTCTGATATTTCACCTTGGAAATATAAAACAAAATGTAACATGTATAGAAAGACAGAAGTAAAAGCCAAGAATATGTCCCTTTCTACTTAGGATTTCGAAAAATGCTTCACTTGCTGCTCAGGACTGAATGAACATTTCCTGTCAAAATGCCTTTAATCATGCTTAAAATGCTATTTAAACATAACTTTGAAACTAATGCGATGTTACTTAGCTGTTGCTCATTACACTAAGAAGTAATGTAACTACTAGCTACATTACTTCTTAAACAATTACTTTAGTTACTACAGAACTGTATGTATAAACCAAGATTCATTCTCTGTCTCTTTCCATTTTCCATCTATAAAATGGGAACAGTGGAGATTTACCTTACTAGTAAGGCAGCAAAGCAACGGAACTTGAAATGTGAATCGGAAACATAAATCAGTACATGGACTTATCAAATATGTCTCTTATGACAAATGTTATTTTAAAGACTGTCCACTCCTTATTGGTTCTAGTAACATTTCAAATATGGCTTATTCAGAGACCTTGGCTATTGTAAAATGTCAGCTGAGTATTTAAAAGAACCATTACTTCCATTAGCAACAGTCATAAATAAATACTGCTCCAGCACCTTAACCATGGATGTTACCATACAGGCACTAAAAATAGTTCCTACTCCGAGAAGTCCACATTTATTTGCCTCATCTTATCTACTTGTAACTCCAGTATAATAAAAACCCTGTAATACCAATATAATGTCATCGACTGAAAAGTATATGCAGTGTGTTGTGTACACACTGCTATGTTTTCCAGTACCTTCACTGAAGTTAGCAAAATTAAGACCACAGAAAGAAACCAATATTAAGGTAAGGAGACATTGTTGTCTAGCAAATGTATTAGTCATCTGCGGGCCATGTAAATGAAAAACCGACATAAAATGAAGGCCTTATCAATATCAGCACAGTTCCCTTCCTGAATGATACCCTGGAATTGAGAAACTAGAGTAAACGATTGATTTCCTCAGTCCTTATATGCTGCAATTTGTTTAAAGTTTGTCTAACTGCCATTAACAGACTTCAGTCACACTACAAGATTAGCTGCTCCATAAATATCTCTGACTGAATGCATGCAGCTGATACAAATGTATTCAACGCATTCTTTCCCCTAACAATACTAGTTTTAAAATCCCAGTGCTAGATAGAACAGCAGGAGGATGTAACATACATTCACTATATACCAAATACACTAGAACCACATGGGAGAAGACTGCATCTCAAATGAACAAACATTGTATGCAGCAATATAAACAACTAGGATTTCTCCATCTAGATGCTGGAATCTAATGAGGCAATTCAAACAAATCCCTACTCATTTACTTTTTGATTGCATGTGTTTAAACAGGATCCATATTTTAAGAACAGCAAAGTTAAACACAACATGCATCTCATACTCAATCAGTTAACAATAAAATAAATATTATTTGCCTTACTTGCACAGAAAGATGAATGAACTGGAAAGAAGTACTTTGCTTGTGTTGTTTACAAATCAGCAGCCAGGTTGAAAGGGGTGCATGAGTTCTAAAGTGTTGTTTTGGTTTATTTTAGCCTAGCTGTCCAATAAATATTGCATACAACATAAAGGTATCATATATGACAAAAGTATTTGAAAAATCCTCCAAGTTAAATCTGTGTTAATATTCTAAGAATATGTAGTGCTTAACGACTCATTTGTATCAGTTCAAACCGTGTTGTTGTTTTAGTGGAACGTTAGTACTATCTCTTTTTTAATCTATGTACAGATTATTATATTTAATAAATGTATGCCATTAGCTTTCCCCTCCACACTACCATGGCATTAGCCATAATTCTGCACTCATAATGTGACAGCTGTTTAAATGGTACAAGAGGACTGAGAAGTTTTTCTGCAGGAGGAGGGAACCATACTCTGGCTTGGAGGGAGGATATTTACTTGACCTATTATATTCCAGACTCAGTGGGAGAAATGTTCTGTAGGACTTGAAGAAGCACATTTCCTAAAGAGAGAAACAATGTAATACATGCTGCCTTGGTTCAGTATCCAGCCTTTACCCGTGGTTGTTATTAAACCCTCTTGCCCTGCTTGCTTGCTATAGAAGCTGGATAAAGGAAAGGCATTGCCTGCATCATGTCACATTTTGCAACAGACAGCCGAGCACGAGGGCATCAGCCCACTATGAGAGACCACATTCTATCCTCCAAATTGTGTGCACATCCAAGAGAGATAAAAAGAATAATCACTGCAGCTCAACAGAAACTGCCCTTGTTCCCCAAGTCCTCTGTATGTACTAACACTTCTGCTGATTCCACCACTCCTGAGAACCTGAGATTTTTCAGCAATTCACTGAAACCTGGGGTTGGGGGAGGCTTGCCCCTTGGATATCTAACGTGGATTTCTGATGATCTAATAGATAAAAACAAAAAAAATGTTTTCCAGTACTTACTTTAACTATAGGAAAATAGGTAGCATAGGCATTTTATTTTGTTTTGTTTTGTTGCTTTTCTTTTAAGTGGCTACATGAACAGAGGAGCTGTGTGCATTTCCCTAGCTCTGCTCTGTATCACTGGTTGCCAGGGCAATACACAACATGATGCCATCAGGACACAGAGAAAACCTATGTATGTGTTATAGAAGAGGAGAACCTAGCAGGGAGATTCCATTTTCAGCAGCACTAGATTTCCCGCAGTGTGTTAACCCCTTCTGTGCTAATGTATCTAGGGCAAGAGTTATTGTCAGAAGATCCTGATACCTTAGCAGTTTACTTTTATTATTTTGTTTTATAAAAAACATTATTCTTCATTGTAGATCCATCTGAAGGATGTCATAGACCAGTATTTCCCGAGGGACAATGCTGCCACAGACAATAGTCCAACTCCCACTCCCCTTTTTGTAATTCTTTTCTGCTCTCTATTACCTAAGAAACTGGGTACCCAGGAAGCTTTTGTCTACAGAAATCTAATTATGCCACATTTGCCTCTAGGTGTTCCACTGATGCCTTCCCTGAGTTCAATACAGGGTTTAATCTGTGATGTCAAAAGAAATACTAAACACCAGACTGACTTTTCTGGTGATTCCTAGACTATGCTGGGGTTGCAACCAAAAGGAAAAAGACAAGGAAACACAGACCATGTACAGTAGTATGTACAGATCTGAGCATGACAAATTTCCCAAAGAATAACACAAGCCTTTCTTTCTGTCTAAAAAATGATTCCATGTGAACTGTACACTATAGAGCCACTGGCAAGAAGAATGAAAATAACTTCACCTGTTTGCTTGTCCCACCACTTCTGCCACTTAAATGGACAAAACCTTTGCCAGGTAGAAGCAACCAATTCCTACAGACCTGGAACAAAGTCAGAAAGAAACTTACACCAACAATCATTGAACTAAAGCTCTCTCCACCCCATCCCAGAGTAAGTGCTAGCAGTCATGATTCAGACGGAAGGGGGGAAATTGTAATTGTAAAATTATAAAATCAAGACTAAGCTAGGAAGAGGAATAGGAACATATGTGACAAATCTTCTGGCTCATTTGAAGTATTATGGGGAGGAATTCAGTGGAAGAAACTTGATCATACTCACTGTCACAAAAGGTAAGCAAAGTTAGTAACTTTGTACCAAAAATGAACAGCAATGAAATTTTCACCCACTCCCAAATGTTTCATGGATAGGTGTAAGGGGACTGATGAACTGAAGGTATAATGCACATCTAAAGCATAGTAGTAGTAGGCGTCCTTCAGTCTCGAGAGACTACGGTAACATGCTCTGTATGGAGGTACAGTGGGGTCTCGACTTACGAACGGCTCGACATACGAACGTTTCAACTTACGAACCGCTCTCATAGGAATATATGGACTCAACTTACGAACTTAGATTCGAGTTACAAACTCCTTTTTTCCCTTTTTTTAAAGCTAAGTCATCTTAGGTTAAAAGGAAAAAAGAAAAAATATCCCCCTCTAGTGGCAGAAGGCGGAATAGCAGCTTCCCATTAGTTTCTATGGACAAAAAGAGCAGATACGGATTAAATGGTTTTCAATGCATTCGTATGGGAAATGCAGATTCGACTTAAGAACTTTTCGACCTGAGAACTGCCTTCCAATACGGATTAAGTTCATAAGCCGAGATCCCACTGTATTGGAACAGTGTCTAGTGTGGCTGAGAAGGCCAATTCGAGAGTGACAATCCCTTCCACAGACAAATACAATCTGTACCCTGTCCAGCTCCCTGGTTTTGCTTGTTTCGGGACTGCCTCTTTGACTCAGCCTGCTGTACAAGTGTCCCTTCAAATTGGGAGAGGTCGTGATGCACCACCTGCCTCCAGGCTGAACGCTCAGACATCAAGGTTTCCCATCTGTTGAGGTCTATTCCTAAGGCCTTCAGATCCC